TGAGGGCTCGTCTCATCCGTATCGGGGCGTTGCACCGACTCACTCAAGGTTACTTGCACACGTTTTCCCCGACTGTTGATGCCTTCTGCGACGCATTTTATGTGTTTCCAGCTTCCTGTTCGACTTGTAAGAGTCGAGCTGCTTTTTCGGTCGGGATGAGACTGATCGTATACACACGCAGACGCGCAAGTGAAGTTACTTTTTCGAGGGAACGGTCCTCGCAGATGTATGAGTGAGACCCTGCTGCTGGGTTAGTGTTCTGCTCATTGGCAACTCTGGTATCTCAAAGAAAAAAAAATAAAGATAAATTAGACTGGGAATTTCTGAGAACTAAAATGAGAATTTGTTGGAAAATATATTATACCGTGAGACCCTGAGATATGCTTGTGGAGGTAATCGATGCTTGGACCTTTTCCTTATCGTGGAATGTCCACATGTTGGATCTAATTTTACAATATACAGTAATTAAAAGCAACTTATTTAGTGGGTTTTCAGCTCAGGGGAAATTATGAAAGAAGACCCAAAAAATAAAATAATATGTGTTTCTCAACCTGAAGGTTTAGAGTATATCTGGGCAGAAAAAAACCGCACAAAAACTCATCTGGCATCAAAAAGACCTCAAAAAGCAACAAAAGAAAGTAGAAGTCTTTCAATACTCTGTTCACAGATTATGGAGAATACTCCACAGGAAGAGGGACAAAATTAACTTGTTTTGATCAAAAATTTGCGTAAATATATACAAGATGCATTTTAACTTTTGTGAATACCTCAATTTCTTCAGGTTGCTATCAAAATTTTGAAAAATTATTCTTCACATTTTTAAAATGTTGAAAAATCGGCCAAATGTTGAGATATTGTCAGGATGTCAGGGGAGATTTTTAAAAGTTCATAGTGTCCCCAGGTTAAATTGTCTGCACGTCAGGATGTCCATATTTCAGGTACTCACTTTACAGTATTTTGAAGTGTTCCACTGCAGCAAGAATTTTACTTCTCCTTCGAATGTTGGTTTCGAAGTTTTCAACCTGAGCTCAATTGATCCCTTATGCTTATGGCTTCGCTCTTCTTTCCCAGTGGTTTCAATGGTAATTTAAGATTCGACAGTGAAGCAAATTATTGGTTTTCAAGTTGAATACGTTTTAAATAAACCGCCGAAAAATTTAAATTCGCGATTTGTTTCTCATCGAGCGTATAAATGTTTACAGGATCTCGATTTCCTTCGGATAACTTCTAAGAGATTAGGCTGGGAAATGACCAAAATTAACTAACTCCTCTGATTATTAAGGGACGGATTTTACGATAGACGTATGTTTCACGTCTACTGACCAAATTGCTTAATTGCTTTCATCGTTCCGGGACCGAAGCATGTGTGAATCTTTTTTTGTTGTTGAGTGAAGTAGTTTTCGTTGAAGATTTCTTTTGTTTTGTTTGGGATTATTTTGTTATTGTCGCATTATGACATATGAGTATGCTGATAATTCGAATTGCCTCGAGGGTACACAATGTCATTCGGAATAGCGTATCGACGACGAGCCCTAAAAAGTGATAGCTGCTGTCGCGTGAGATTTACCATATTTCCATGCGCGCTGTGAGCTCGACGCGGCTCGTCATGACGTTCGAATATAGCTCGTCACGCTGAGTCGAAAAAAGGAAGAGAATCGATTTCTATACAGAGGCGTGACCTCTTATGTAGGGCTGTTGGGTTCGCACGAAAATCGCGAATTCGGGAGTTCATTCCTCGTTGTTTCTCCAACACAGTGTTATCATGTGACGTGGAGCTTCCACATGCTCCGGAATTCCGGTGATCCATTTCATTTGCTTTCCTGTTGAAAATAATGTTCAAGGTGCGCTATTTCAGTGCGGCTTCTGAAAAGTGTTTGAAATTCACAGGGTCCACAAACTTCTGCTACCTCATCCAGCCAGCGATCGAGTAACGTTTGTCAACCAAAATAAATGAGGATGGGATCGAGAGACTACCAGAGAAAAATATTTTATTCATTAGTGAAATTCAACCACGCTTGTATTTTTGTAGAAAAAATATTTTCTTGCAAACTTAGTAACTACTGTACTAAAATTCGGACGCAAAAATAATTACTGAGGAATTCGTGAAGCTCTCGAGGGAAATAAATTTTTTTACGTGTATATCAGACCTGTATTTTCCACTTCCCAGACTTCTGTACAGATATTTTTTTCTCATTAATTGTACCATGTTAACTTGCTTTATTGATTCAACTACTGTATATCTTGATTGACTACTGAAATTTAATGTTGCGTTGTCGGGGCCTTGAGTAGAGTACAGTATGAGAAAGAAAGAGAAAATCTGACTCAGTACTGTGTGATGTGTATGCAACTGTGAAACGAGTTCCGTGCAGTTTGCATGAATTTTCAATTATAATCCATATATGCGACGTTAACCTTCCAAAAATGTTTATAGAACCATACAGTATGACTGTATGAGTCTTTTCAATGCCTGGAATTATTTCAGATTCATATTTGAACTCAAAAAATGCATGCTGGACTGAGAGTCGAATCTGGATTATTCTTCGATATCGCTTCAGCGATCGTTGATGTACTGTACTGATGTACTCCGTATGTATAGTACTGTATATCATAAATTCAAAATCTTCATGAAATATTTCTCCTGCTTTAATATTTTTCAATCTTGTATTGAGCTTTTCCTATACTGTATACCTTTGTCGTCTAGTTGTTCAGATGATTCCCTGGCGAACTTGATTTAATCGCTGGTTGGCGCCCTGTTCAAGAATATCTCTCGAATATTCTGATCACGAATTCATTTTTATATTGTACTTGTTTGGTTTTTCCAGGTCACGGGTGGGTTGATTTCGTACTGTTAGCGCGTCGGCGTGACACACTCGACACGTTAGGTTGACATACGGTCAGGTCAGTCCAAAAATAAAAATAAATAAAATGATGCGAAGCGTGTTGTCGTCCGTGGGGAGCCGGGCCTCGGGAGTCACCAAGTTGCTCGACACCTCCAAGCTCGCCGCTCCGACCTGCGTGTCCGTTTCCCGACGCGATTTCACTCGTCACGAAATCCCCGACAAGCTCAAGGACATGCCCGAGCTGGCCAACCCGTCCTTTTTCGACATGGTAGAGTATTTCTTTCACCGAGGCTGGCAAGTGGTGGAAGAGAAGCTGGTCGACGAGATGTCAGGCAAGGCCTCGCGCGACGCCAAGTTCGAGCGTGTCCAGGGCACGCTCAACATCATCAGGCCGTGTCACCACATCCTGGAGATCAACTTCCCGATCAAGAGAGACGACGGGAGCTATCAGGTCATCCAGGGGTTCCGAGCCCAGCACAGTCAGCACAGGACACCTTGCAAGGGAGGCAAGTTTTTTTTCTTCTCGAGGAATTTGCGATTTTAACCCTCACAAGGAGGACAAGACGGATTATTCATGTTGAATAGTTTTCAAAGTTTTTTATATTTTTTCAAAGGCTCGAAAATCAAAAAAAAATATAGACTATAAACCGACGCATGCGGCCGATGGTCAAATTGTTGGGGTTTTTTTTTTACTTTTATTCTTATTTTTTGATTGAGCAGATAATTATACTGCTGAGAAAAATTCCCAAAATTCCGCATTTTTCTGTTTAACATCCACGAGATTAACGTTTGTTCTTTGTTTTTTTTTCGCCACTCTTACTTGAATTTTTATCGGAACACGCATTTTCAACCTTTGGGCAGATCAAACAAGATATATTTACGTGAACATGTTTTCCCCAGGTGCTAACGCATCAAGTACTCAACAGAATGAAAACGAAACCTGATGCATGAATGCGGCTAAAATTCAAACATGTCAAGATTTTATTTCCTTTGTCAATAGGAAAATTCTCCTGAGAAAAATCCACATAATTATGCGTTTTTTTATATTTCTTCCATAGAATTACTGGGATTTTGCCTTTAAATTCTTTATTCCCTTTTTATTGTGAATTTTTCTCTAAACCTGCGTTTAAATCAGGCAAAAGTGACACGACATGTTTGGGAAATATTGTGCTGCATTTTCTTGAATTACTCCAAAATAAAAGGAAAACTTGATCGAGTGCATGCGGCTCAAGTGCTCGTTATTTATATATTTTTTATTTCTATGGCAAGACAAATATTCTGCAGAGAAAAGTTTCCTCGAGCCTGGATTCTTCCAGTAGTATTATCGGGGTACGTAACCAGAACGAAATACTGTATGAAGTAGGACGAAAAATGACATACATTACTGTACCTCAATGTCGTCCACTCGTGACTAATTCGAGTTTATTTTCGTAGATGTCGATAGCAAGCTGCGGAAAAACGCCGCGCAGCTTCCTCAACAGCATTTTTGAGATTACTTACTCAAGCAGTTACGGCCAAATAAACGCGACGAGGCATTTCTTTGCCTCGTTTTTTCCTTGTTCAGATTTGACTTTGCGTGACTAATTTTTCTTCTAAAAATGGTATCTCCAGGTATTCGTTACTCGATGGACGTATGCGCAGACGAAGTCAAGGCCCTGTCGGCGCTCATGACGTTCAAATGCGCTGTAGTCGACGTGCCTTTCGGCGGAGCCAAAGCCGGCATCAAAATCAATCCCCGCGAATATTCCGAGGAAGAATTGGAGAAAATCACGCGTCGATTCACCCTGGAATTGGCCAAGAAGGGATTCATCGGACCGGGCATCGACGTGCCGGCCCCGGACATGGGCACTGGAGAGCGAGAAATGTCTTGGATCGCTGACACGTATGCCAACACAGTCGGACACCTTGACATCAACGCCCACGCGTGTGTCACAGGCAAACCCATCAATCAGGGTGGGATTCACGGCAGAATTTCCGCTACTGGACGAGGCGTGTTCCACGGGCTGGAGAACTTCATTATGGAGGCCTCGTACATGAGCATGATTGGAACGACACCTGGTTGGGGCGAGAAAACATTCATTATTCAGGTTATAAACGATCTTCGCCTTTTCTCATCTCAGCGTCGATTTTCCACAAGCATTAGAAGCGGAGGGCATTCGAGTGTGTCTTCATTTCATAAGCATCACAAGGATTGCAGAACTTGATCCATATATGTACAATACTGTACTGTATATGCACACAGTTGAACCTCCATAACTCAAACCGTCCAAAATCAGATACAAACCTTCCTGATTGAATGTTTTCAAGTCTGGTCTGAATTCCCTTGGAAACAATGCATTAAAAACCTCCCTAACTCAAAGGCTTTTCTTCTCAAACCTCAATAAGACAAATTTTCAGTAGCCTTTTGACTGTTATTTTCTTTATACAAAGAGGACAAAAGCATCAAAAATGGAATTTAGAGCATTTCAAAAGTAATTGAAGGACTAAATTGGGCAAATGAACCCCTCCCTACAAATTCAGGATCCATTCAACTCATGTAAAAAGTAATTTAAGGCCCAGAATTCTAACAACTTTGTGGAATTCTTCAATGTTTCCCATGACAAAGATTCTTGGCTCCATAACTCAAAACCTACTTAAGTCAAAATGTTTTGTTGGTCCTTTGAAATTTGACTTCAAGAGGTTCAACTGCTGTAAAATATAATTACAACAAACATTTTGGGACTACAGAAAAATTTTGTTGTACTGAGTAATTTGTCTGGGAGAGATTCTTAACATTAATGGATGGAAAACATTTTCACATCAGACCTGCTTTAAATTGTTAAGATATTGTTTTTCAGGCATTCTCTGAGTTCTTCAGTGTCTTCGGAGTACTGTAGTTATCTTTTGAAAAATTAGCTTCAATTATGCATTTCCATCAGTTTCACCGATCTCATCATCAGTATATTCTGGGAGGATGATGTAAAAATCTCTTTATTCTGAGGCAATGGTGTGTGGAACCACTTGGAAGCCTGTTTGTCATTGATTATACAGCTTCCATCCATACTACAAGAGCCAGCAAGTAAAATTTTGGATCAGAAATTTTGGGCTGTGCCTGCTTCAGTCAGGAAATTCCCACCTAGAGGTTCTATTGAACATTCCCAAAAAAACATTGGTTCTACTGGAATGGGAAAGTTTTTATAACATTATTGCTGTAACTTTCTGCCAGGACTTGCAAAAAAGGTGGTTATGCTAAACATTTTGTTGTAAGATTTCACTATATTTACGAAGCAGCCCTTGTAAAACCTATTACTGTATATATAAAATTTGGTCATCCCAAGGTATTCAATAACTCCATTTCTGCCTTTGCTTCAACGCTTTTATTATTGTTTTCCTCGCAGGGATTCGGTAATGTAGGCTTGCACACCATGCGGTATCTGCACAGAGCGGGCGCCACATGTATTGGAATAGTGGAGCATGACGGTGCCATTTTTAATCCTCACGGAATCGATCCTAAAGAGCTGGAGAACTACCACATAGAGAACAAGACCATCGTGGGCTTCCCTGCTGCTCAGGCGTACGAAGGTGGTCAGGATCTCATTTTCGAAAAGTGCGACATCTTCGTGCCGGCTGCTATTGAACAAGTCATCACCAAGGACAACGCACATAGGTTGCAGTGCAAGGTACGGATTAGCCATTTAATCTATTCATGAAAAGAGCATTTATATAGTTGAACCTGGAAAAGTCAAATACCTCCCGATGTAAAATTAATTTCAAGTCCCTGACTGAATTACCTTAGAAAGGATTCATTCAAAACCTCCCGAACTTGAAGGCTTTCCCCCTAGATCAAATCTCCATAACTCAACATTTTGTGAGGCTTTTTTGCTATGATATTTGACTGACACCGGGAAAGAGGAAAGCAATCAACGTGTAACTTGATGCATGTTGAAACGAATGTGAAAGATTAATTGGGTAAATATTGACCCTTTCCTTCAACTCCAGCATCCATTCAACTCATGAAGAAGCAATTTAAGGCTCAGAATATCCCCCATTGCAAATCCCTGCAATGCTTCTTTATTTTCCCCCAACAGAATTGCTTGCTTTCCTTACTAGAATTTTTGTTTGCTTCTCCATTGAGGTTTGACTTGAAGATGCTCGAAGGCATTTCCAAATGCAGATTCGTGAATGATACAGCAGTGGATTGCTTCAGCATTTTTTGTTGAAATGTCACTGATTCATTTTTATTATTATCTGAATGTTAAGGAGAGGAAATCTTGACGCAATTTTGTGTTTTCTAAACACCGTTGAACTTCATTGTCACCACCTACCGTGTTTCGCTTGAGAACGTATCTTAATTTGACACGATGAACTGCTGTTTGTATATATAGATCATTGCCGAAGCTGCCAACGGTCCGACGACTCCAGCAGCGGACAAAATTTTGTTGGAAAAGAATATTCTCGTCATTCCGGACATGTATGTGAATGCTGGTGGTGTGACAGTCTCGTACTTTGAATGGCTGAAGAATCTGAATCACGTTTCATACGGGAGACTGACTTTCAAGTATGAGAGAGAATCAAACTACCACTTGCTGGGTACGTATGAACAATTCAATCGAGTATTACATACTAAATTACAGTATTTCCTTTCACCAGTGGCTTTCATTACTTTTGTTCGTCAATTTTGCCTGAATTTTTTCTTTAAATCATTTGTGCAATGAATTATTGCAGTGACATAATTTATACTAATCTTTCACTTCCAGTTCTTGCGCCGCGATGCGTCCTCTGTGTCCTAATTACAGTAGTATTTTTTAAAAGACTTATACTGTATTATGTTTGGCGGACGAGTTTTGAAATGTTAGAAGTTATGTTCTCAACTTATAAAATTTTTTTCATTAAATATACTTCTCCAGAATCCGTCCAGGAATCCTTGGAGCGTCGCTTCGGACGTGTTGGTGGCAAAATCGACATTACGCCATCGGAAGCTTTCAGCAAACGCATCGCTGTAAGTCCTGGTGCCATTTCCATAAATTCAAACTTTTCTGGCTCCTCGGGAATATATTAGGCACATGTTTTCAATTTTGAATTCGTGAAAATTTCATAGAAGTAGTTTCCGAACGTTACTATACTCATATATAGCACAATTAATCGAAATCTTGAAATCGCAAAATTGGAATTACATACAGATATACCATCAGGATTCATCCACTTACAGTAGCAGCGTTCTCGTCGGAAATTTCACGAAAAAAAAAATTATCTTGCAGTCGATTCAAAAAATGCTTAGGTCTGCTTCGTGAAAAATGCGTTCTATCTGAAATTACCTGAAATCTCGACTTAATGGGGCAAGTTTTCAATTTTCATGCAGTACTTGGAATATTTAATTTTAAAAAACATGAATACAACTTTTGAAACACGCAACAGAAATCGGTTGGAAATGTTGAAGAAACGTATTTTTCGAGCTTGTGATTTTCGCTTAGAAATGTCCCCAAGCTTCTTGTATAACAGCTGTAGGTAAAGGCCGAATTTTTAAAAATTATATGCAGCTTATGCATTGCATACATAATAGGGTCAGTAAAAATATGGAATAAGAACAAAAATTTAAGCCCTTTTTCAAATTTTGGTCTGTTTTATTTTCTGCGAGATTCTCGTTTGAAAATTGGTACAAAATTGGCGGGTCCATCCGACAAATTACAATAAGTAATCCGATGTAAGGTGATTCGAATATTTCACGATACCAGCTGCCGTCATAGTGCATTGAAGGTCTACACATAATTATTCATCCCCAATTTGAACGAGCAGAATTCCCGACTTCAACGTTCAGCAACTATATGAGCGGGCTGGTGTAGCCGCAAACGTAAAATATGAAATTTTTTTTTTCTACAGGGTGCATCAGAAAAGGACATCGTCCACTCAGGTCTCGACTACACCATGGAACGGTCAGCCAGGGCGATCATGGCAACTGCGATGAAGTACAACTTGGGCCTGGACTTGCGCACAGCTGCGTACGTCAACTCCATCGAGAAGATCTACAACACATATCGTCAAGCCGGCCTCACTCTGTCTTAATTTTTCAGTCGGTGTTATATTATCATTTTCTGGTTCTTCTTTCCTTGCCTTCACTTCCCACTTTTATTCCTTTTGAATACGTTCCGATTCCTTTGATTTATCGTATCGGAAGAGCAAAGAGAAAGGAATTATTACAGTGATGATGCTCAGTCGAACTTCTATAAATGAGTCGCTGGCCGCATTGGTGCAATATATTTTTTCGGGATGCCGTCCTTTTCCTTCGCCGACTTGATTTGGCTTAACATTCGTTTTTTTTGGCATAGCTTGATAGATAAATATTTTAAAGACACACTCTTGCTTCTAATAACACTTCATCAGTTTCGAAAATGCCGCTGATTCCATATTATTATTATTTGCTGGTCTGCGGGAAAATTTTGTCTGCTTGATAAATGTATCAAAAGTAGTAATGGAGTCGGTTATCATTGTCAGACGTTTTGGAAGGACAATTGCAGTTGAAATTATGTGATGAAGAATTAAAATAAGCTTTTTTCCTAAAAACACTTCAGACAAATTTTCACCAGCTGAAATAGATTATTACAATTTTTCTTTCTGAGAAACCTTTCTTCAAGCCCACCTTTCTAATTTTTGATGACATTCAACTATAGCTGCTTCATTGGTGCGTAACTGAATTGTTGAAAAATGGCACAAACTCTCAAACACCTACCATAAAGTCTTATAAGAAGAACATTTGCGAGTCTGTAAAAATGTTATAAAACTTTGCTGGTCCACAGAATTTTTTTTTTTAATCTTCCAGTCCGCGGGTTCAAAAAGGTTGGGGAACACTGTTCTATAGCACATTCTATAAGCTGGAAAGCTCCTGGAAGCCTCACTCATTTTAAACTTGTGGAAAATTTAAATAATAGTCATTATGGAATTTTCAAGATTTTTTCAACTGGAAAAATTAATAGAGAGACAATTCCGAGCAGCTTTCTTCAGATCCTTTTTGATGCGATATTTCTATGTTTAACATTTTGAGTAGTTTTCGGCTGAGCCTGTACAAATTTCCTTAAAGATTGAAAGCATCGCTTAGTCGTGGTTCATCTAAGATCCTCAGGGAGACATCCGTCAATTTTTCCGGCTAAAAAGTTGCAGCGGTGTGAGAATCCATGTTAACATATTAGTTATAGTTTAGAAACGCTGTAAACATCGATTTGACAGTTCAGTCACACAAACATTTTAGTACACTGTTCATTGGCAGAAGAGGTCGACTCTCGTGACAAATTTATGAACACATTTTCGAGCGTTTCCTGCGTGAGACTGAAAGCCGAAATTTTCTGCGCGGATTTCCACGAATCCAGTGTCTGAAAAGCGCGACTGAGAGGGACAACACTTGCATAAGGAATTCGAAAAACTATTCGATCAACCGAAGTTTCAACAAATTCCGCTCCCGGAAATTCCGTAGCGAAATCCGAAAGCAACTGGGAACGTTCCCCTGGAGCTGTTTTCAATATATCAAGCCAGAGCTCTGCAGTGTAGCTGGAACCGTACTTGGTTCTCAAATGTTGTGTAGTTCCAATGCATCTAAAAATATATATAATAATAAAAACCACAGCCATAATTTTTCACATTTCCCATTTTTCTTGAATATACAAAGATTTGTTCATCTATGTTTTGAGACTTTTTGAAAGTGAGACCCCCAGATGTGGACATAATTGGTGCATCAAGCGTGTCCCCAAGTCAAAATGTCCCTAACTTGAGTCTCATTTACCGTTAGACTTAATTAGTGTTTTATGTACAAAATACTCACCATAATTCCATGAAAATAAAAATTGTCAAACTTGAGTCTCATTTACCGTTAGACTTAATTAGTGTTTTATGTACAAAATACTCTTCATAATTCCATGAAAATAAAAATTGTCTCCCAATTTAAACTGATTCAAATCAATATATTTCAACAACATATTGACATTTGGGGAATTGGATTCTGATACCTCTGTAGAGTACATAGAAATGTTGGCATTCTTTGTAAAATAACATTCAAGTTTAAAAAAAGAAGGAAGTCCCTCTCTGCTGGAGGTAATTTTTTTTAATTACCTGAATGGATGGTAAATTGGTGAGAGAAATGCCCAAGAAATTTTCTTACATCAATTTTAGGGCTGGATTTGTCTGTTTCTTGTAATTTGGCCCAAAATGTATTTGCAGTTTTGTTCCAAAATGTCCCTATGTTGAGTCAGTGTCCTCATGTCAGGCCTATTTTATTAATTTTTTTATTAGAAAATGAGTGTCCGTATGTCAAATTGCCCGCAGGTCAAGGTGTCCGCATGTGGGGGTCTCACTGTAGATCCAATGGCTTATCAACAGTTCAACAACAAACATTTACTCCCATGGTCCCATCATTTGGCCACCCTTCAGTGCTGTTCAACAGCCTCTCCACCGATTTCAATGCATTTTTTTCATGCTATAAACCCAAAGATAAAAACAGTGCTAAAAATTGAGTTCTGTTAGTCGATTGGGATCCCTGTGACTCATGCCTGCATGTTCCAAGTATTGGAAGAAATCCATGAAAGGGATTGATTTTGAGGACAGGTACAGCCTCATCACTTCCGCAGTCGAAGAGCAGCTCAATCAACTAACGGAACACGATTTTCGGCACTGTTTTGATCCTTGGATTTTTTGCATGAACAAAAAAAAATGTGTCGCAATCTGCGGAGAGTATATGAACTGCATAGAATTAGTGGTGCCAAATGATGGAGCTATGCGAGTAAGACAAAACTGTTGACTGGTTGAAACTCCGTTCAATCTATTCCAAAAAAAATCTCAAAAGTTATGAACCAACCCGGGTATTACCAGCAATTACGAATAAGGATGAATTCATCACCTCATAGATCCTCGGTTCATGATGCCGACTCTGTCGCACAAAACGTCCGCTTCTTCCATGAAATGTGTCGTCAGAATGGCACCCATGCGACCTTCAACTTCGGACTTGATGATGTCCCAAAGCTTTCTTCTGCTCACGGGATCCATTCCTGTCGTCGGTTCGTCGAGCAAAACAGCGTAAGGTTGAGAAAATATGCTGATCAAGAAAGAAAGCTTTCTTTTCGTTCCTCCAGAGATATTTCGAATGGCTTCTGTTTGTTCCGAGTCGAGGATGTTCATCTTCGGTAAAGCGCTGTCCAGAAAAGCTTTGCATTCCGATTTCTTCCAATTCCGTAACTGAAAATCGTCATTTTTTTCAGATCCGAGGTGATCTAATACGAGATCTGAACATAATAGTGGCTAAGTAACGTTTAAAGAATATATAAGAAATGACCTGGCGAAATGTTTGTCCGAGCAATTTATTTTTTTCTCAGCAGTGACTGGTGAACGACGTTTCAGCATTCAAGTCTGTTCCCGGGTAAAAAGTACTGCTTTGGTAAAATATTACTGTCGTACACTCATTTTTCTCTAACTGGTTGAAATAGAGATAATAAACTTGCAACTCTAAGATTTTTAGCAATTTCGCGGGCAGCCTTGCGAATATTAAAACAAAAAAATCTCCCAGACGTTAAATCTAATAAAAAAATCAATGGCAGAAGAAAAAAATTTTCATCAGTTGATGGAAATCTTTCAAACGTGGATACCAGTCAACGGGGGGGGGGGGGGGGTTTCATAAGGGCCATCGTGACGGACTTGATGATGTCCCAAAGCTTTCTTCTGCTCACGGGATCCATTCCTGTCGTCGGTTCGTCGAGCAAAACAGCGTAAGGTTGAGAAAATATGCTGATCAAGAAAGAAAGCTTTCTTTTCGTTCCGCCAGAGATATTTCGAATGGCTTCTGTTTGTTCCGAGTCGAGGATGTTCATCTTCGGTAAAGCGCTGTCCAGAAAAACTTTGCAATCCGATTTCTTCCAATTCCGTAACTAAAAATCGTCATTTTTTTCAGATCCGAGGTGATCTAACACGAGATCTGAACATAATAGTGGCTAAGTAAAGTTTTAAAAATATATAAGAAATGACCTGGCAAAATGTTTGTCCGAGCAATTTATTTTTTTCTCAGCAGTGACTGGTGAACGACGTTTCAGCATTCAAGTCTGTTACTGGATTAAGGTACTGCTTTGGTAAAATATTACTGTCGTACACTCATTTTTCTCGAACTGGTTGAAATAGAGATAATAAACTTGCAACTCTAAGATTTTGAGCAATTTCGCGGGCAGCCTTGCGAATATTAAAACAAAAAATCTCCCAGACACGTTGAATCTAACAAAAAAACCAATGGCAGAAGAAAAAAATGTTCATCAGTTGATGGAAATCTTTCAAACGTGGATACCAATCAACGGGAGGGAATTTCAATAGGGACATCGTGAAGGGTTTTGAAATTTTCAAATCTTGAACTTCATTAGCGCGAAAACCCAATTCTGAGGTCTCGTACTATGACAGCTCTACTGTATCAACCTTCGCTGTTTCTTTGCTTAATAACATTACATATTTTGTTGTGCATTTTTGATAATATATATTTCAGCGTGAAATTGAGGTAAGCATTTATTTTGAGCTTTTAATAAAAAAAAATTGTAGCCCATAGTCCAGTGTAGAGTTTTTGGAATGTAGCTGAAAAGGACTTCGATCCGCCAGCGAGGATGGTTCTTCACTCTCAATTTATAAGGGCTGGAAAAGTAAATCGTGATGATAGCATTGATCAGACAGTATAAAATGTATGATAAGACGAAGATCTACGTCTGGTTTCAAAATTCATTTCGGAAATGAAGACAAGATAATCGTACACCCTTACTCCAGCGTAGAATTCGAGATGTTCCCGAATGTTCAAATCTCCCCATAGGGCGTCGTGTTGAGGACAAAATCCGAGTCTCAGAAGGGCTTCAGAATGACAATTGCGAATAGGTTCTCCACCTACAAAAATCTGGCCACCTGTCGGTCGGTTTTCAGCCAACAACAGCTTAATAGTAGTAGTTTTCCCAGCTCCATTTGGCCCCAAAAGTCCGAAAATCTGTCCTTGGTCCACGTGGAAATCTAGATCACGCACGATTTGTCGCTCAACTTTCCCGAATGGCAGGTTTCTGGTGTGCAAAAACATAGGTTTAAATATCCACGCACAGACCTGAGTACCCGCGCGCAAAAAAAAAGGATCACACTACAATTGCTTGAAAATTCTTGTGATGAAGAACAGTTTTTCGTGACCCCAGTAGCTCTTTTTCAGGTTTTTAACCACGATAGCGGGGATTTTCTGGTCATCAGTGCTGCTTTCGCTGCGCAAAGGCACATCGTCGAAGTTTCCAGCAGGCATTCTAGTCAAATAATCTCTCACGAATTTTCTTTCTTCGAAAACATCTGAAATAAAAACAATTATAAGACAACCATGCCATTAAAACGACAAGCATTCCTTAACTGGAGCTGTTTGTGACTTCTCTTCAACTTCTACCGGTTCAGAATCTGCTGGGAATTTGTACCATGAATGAGAGATTTTGATATTTAAAAAAAGCATGAACTTAGATTTTAAGAAAATAAGTAGACCAACCTGAATCTTTTCGGTAAAATATCTTAGCCCTTATTATACATACTGTATTAAACTGCACATTTAAAACGTGACAAACATCATTCTCTTCGCCATTTTCGAAACTTTTTCATCATCGTCTTCAGTCATCAAAAATGTGTCTAGAATCAGCATAAAGTAAGTATATATATCGTGCAAAAGTAGTGTTGATGCGACATTTACGGGAATTTTGATGAGAACTTTTGATTTTTTTTATTGCGAAAAAAAGTCGACTGACCTGAGTCTTCTCGTTCAAATCTCTCTGCTACATGCGACTCGTAAATCCCCTCGCTCTTATTTGATCTGGGACGCAATAACAAAGCCTGGCTCAGGGGTGTATCATGATTCATTAAATCCTTCACCGTGATCAGGTAAATTAGTGCTATCATTTGCACAGGCACTGCAATGAAAAGTGGAAGCACCAGCCAATCGGACACGATTTCGTAGAATCCCACGGTTTCCTTCGTTTCCCGCAGTTTTAAAAACGTCTCTCCCATCACGAAGATCCCCATTCCATTCGTGTATGGCGGATATAAGAAGGCGAAAATGAAGTTGAATATGTTGTACAATAAACGTTCTTTTGGGTCACTTTCGCTTCTGGCCAGCAGCATGATCATTGGGATATACGTGAAATAACCTACAAGTTGACGAAGGGAAACATAAAAATCAGAAAAATGTAAATTTCTTTCGCATCGAAAGACGCTTCTGTTGAAGCAGCTTCACGCAATAAAAAAAAACAGCGCGCCCAGAACTATATTCATCTTCCATAAAACTTATTACCAGCGTCCAGCAACAACAACGAACACAGAAACAAAAATCCAGAATGACTATATAGGTGAAAGGGGCTCAATTTCTTCGTTGCATTGAACTTATTTGTAAAGATGTCTTGTTCTGAAAATGTTCAGGCTTCGATATTAATCTTGACCCTAGTGCAACACTATGAAATTGAATGGCTCAATCGCTACTTCGCAATACTTTTTTTTTTGCCAATAAATAAGCGTTTCCATAAATACTGTATTCTATTCTTTTTTGTGTTTTTTATTTTTTATAAACACAGTGTTCTGGGATGGACGAGCCGTTTTCAAAAGCGCTCAACTTATCAATCCGAAGATCTTTTCAAGAAGTCCATCAATTAATAGATATCATAAATTGAAGATTTGAAGTTTTTAGTTCATCTGAAGCTTTTATACTTAGGGCAAATAATATTCTTTGAACACGTTTACCGCAATGGAAGAAAAATATGCCGAAATCTGCCTTAGTCATCATCAATCTGAAAGAGAAGCATCATCAAAGGAATCAAGTACAATACTACCGAGAATGTTGTATGCCACTGGGAAAACTGCTCCAGCAGTAGCTTCTTTCCCGAAAAGTGACGCTGACAATCCAGCAAACAACAGCTCGTTCACAAAATGTGTGAGGTACAGAATGCACATCAACGTCAAAGGTACAAAGTCTGCCACTGGAGAAATCGGGATAATCACGATTCCAATGACTGTCAAAAATAAATAAAAGAATAGAAGAGAAATCGTGCTTGATGAAGACTTGATGAACCTTTGATGATCAAGCAATGTTCAAGTGAACATTTCATAAAGCTATCATTGTTTAGTACAAGGAAACATTTAGATTGCCCTTGTTTTGGGGAACATTTTGCTTTTTTAAAACACCTATCTTAATTGGTAAAATTTTTACAGATTTTCAAAGTTTGGGTGAAATTTTACAAATTGCTTTATTTTGTAATAGTTTATAACAATTCTCCAGAGCTGAAACAGAGAGAACTGCAATGTTTGATTGAATATCACAGTGAACATCATGTTTCACTGTGATGATCTTGTGAACATATCACATCCATTCATTCAAGTCATAATTTTAGCCAAAATTTAATGAAATTATTAGCCAAAAATATTGAATATTGAAATACTGTATTACAATAATGCATTTCAATATATTTGTCTATATATGTGCCTTTCCATTGCCAACCCATTGAGAATGCATTCTGCAATGCCATTGAAAACTGCCCCAACAGCTTTTCCAAATAACATTTTGAATATAAGTTGCCAATGTGTGGTCAATGCCAATTTGAGAATGCCCTTTTTTTCAATGTTGGGAGAATGGCATTCCCAATCGCTTCAGATCCCATTCTCCCAACATCAATGACAAAAAGGATTTGGCTGCAATCCTCACCATTCTGACAATGGTGCTGCAATGGCATTGCCAACGCCATTGTCAAAATGTTTGCCAGCTGAATTATGCCCCCATTCTTTGCTGGGTGTAAAAAATTTACCATCCTCATTTTTCCTCCTGATAAAAATAAGTTGGAGTGGAGCTCCAGGAAATATGGCATATGAAACAGAATTTCAGTTTCCTCACCTAAAATGACAAAAATTAAGGCCATGAAAATCCAGTGGGAAATGACATATGGCAAATAATAGCCCATCATCCCTAATCCACTCATCCTCAGACCTGTTCTAATCCCCAATTCCCTCTCATTCACAATTGCCAAACACAGTCTAATAGGCATTGCTGAGAACCCAGCAACCAGCATGACATTGGACACCAAAGACAAAGCCGGAATCCCTCGCCTTGTCTTCAACAGCTTCTTAGGCAAGGCTTCAGTCTTAGTCACCAACACCTCATTCACCCCAGCTTTCTTCAGAATCATGTTCGACAGTAGGTTAGATGTCGCTGGTGGCAGAGTCGCCATGGTAGTGTTGAAGTAAGTCACCAATTTGCTTCCATTTTCCTCAAAATAAAGCGGAGTCGGGGACTTCTTCGAGTGCAGTAGAATGCTTTCGAAAGGCCCGTTAAATTCGACTGTTTCTATGCCCACGGAATCCAGGGATTTTTGGATCCCGTTCGGATTATCGCTCTTGTACCAAACTGTATTCCCGAACTGGGTCTTGAAAGAGGCCGGGGACCAGATTACTTCCCAGGAAATATTGCGAGAAGAGCTCGAGGAAAGGTAGCTCAGCAGCAAGCATATTGTTAAATTCAGCAGGGGCGAGAAGAAAATTGAGACGATGACTCCGGGGCGCTTCAGGATCAGCAAGAATCTCAGTTTTAATAACGCCATCAAAGCCCGAAGTCGCGAAGAACGTCGGGCCGTCGTTGTGGCATTCGACCCGTGATGGTTCTGTTCGGCAGCAGCTAGTGATGAGGCCGGTTCCTCGTCTGGCGCCTGTCCGGCGCCTAATCTACCTAGAAAGCGCCACTTCTTCTTCCGCTTATTATTCGGGCTGCTGGTTCCTTTATTCTTGGCCTGTTCTTCTTGCCGCCCGAGCTCCAAGAATATTTCTTCCAGAGTCGCCAGCGACAGGCCGTAGTTTTGAATACGGGACTCGAACGGCGAGTTGACTTCTTGGTCAAGGAGTCGAAAGAGTTGAGAGAACTTGGGGGACGTGTTTGGGGGTAGCGTGTAAGAGACCTGGGATCGACTTTGATCCGGGCTCTTTGTCGACGCGGGGATCACGCCGGAAACTAGCGTGTCCAGAAACCGATGGCTTTCGGGGTCTCCTGGAAAGCTGAGATTCACCTCTAGCTTGTAACCGATGCGGAACTTGTCGCGGATGTAGCGGGATGTGCCGGCGTATTTGAGCATTCCGGCGCTGATGAGGGCTTTCCTGTCGGCTAGTCCGTCGGCTTCGTCCATGTAGTGGGTGGTAAGGATCATGGTGCGACCGTTGCGAAGGTTCTTCAGCAAGTCCCAGAGCTTGCGACGGGATAAGGGGTCCACCCCGGAAGTGGGTTCGTCCAGGAAGATGACTTTCGGTCCGCCTATGATGGCTGTGCCGATGGACAAGCGGCGCTGCTGGCCTCCGCTCAGATCCCCGACCGCGTAGTTTTCCTTATCTATTAACCCTGATAGAATAATTTATTCTACAGTCGAAAGTCTGTATAAATCGAATTACGCGGGAAAAGCAAAAAAAAATTGAGTTATATATAGGTTTCTAGTGACGGAAACAAGCATTTTTGTTGTGCTGGGCAGGGAAAGATAAAAGAATTGCAGAAAATTATAAATGGTAATTATAAATATAAATTATAATTATAAATAAATTCTAGGCCTTAAATTGCTTCTTGAATGAGTTGACAGGAAGCTGAACTAAGATGCCATGGTTCATTTGCTCAATTAGTCCTTCATCTTCTTTTTTTTTTTAAACATCAAGTTGCTTTTCTCTTTCCTGAGCCAAGAAAATAATTGTCAAGAGACCTCAGAAAATTTGAGCTATGGATGTTTGAGAGGAAAGGCATTCAAGTTGAAAAGGTTTTTATGCATTTTCTCCTAATGGAATTCAGGCTGGGACTTGAAAAAAAATTTGACTTATGGGGGTTTGAGTTATCAAGGTTCAACCGTATTATGCTCAGTGGGGTCTTGGCTAAAGAACTTAATCTATTCCTGAGAAGTTTTTGTTAGCTGAATCACCATTATAATCAGCCCCTGTGCAGCAAAATCAGGATATTTTTGCAAAATTATTTGCCCAATAAGGACACTGAAATGACGGGAATAAAACTGAGAACCAAGGCTTAAGTTGGGAAGAAGTCCAATATTTTTATCTGCCAGCAGAAATTTTGGGTTTGTTTTCTTGGTTTTCTGAAAGGTGTTCTATCACAGCTAAACTATCCTAAACTGTGGACATTGAGTCAAATTGAATATTTTGGAACCCTCTAAATGTATGCAAAAATTTTCAAAATGTGTGTCCAAAATCCCTCTGCCTCACTCATCACACAGTTACTTTTTAATATTTTTGCGTTGGATCCTAAAACATGTTTGCATTGCATGCGGAAATATGTATATTGTGTTCTTTTACCATTTTTTAAATAAGTAAAACTGCTCAATATAAGAATTAACTCGTAAGAAGGGAAGTGTACCAAGTCTGTTCAAAAGTTCGCGTATTTCTTGGTTTCGGTCAGCCTTGCGAACGCCTCTGATCCTGGCGAAGAATTCCAAGTGTTGTTTCACCGTCAATTCACTGCTGAAAACATTCTCCTGAGGACAAACCCCTATAATCTTTCGAACCTCGTCCATGCTCTTGGGGTCGTTCACATCATAACCCAGAATGTAAGCAGTGCCAAAGGTCGGTGCCATCAACCCGCTGAGAATCCGCAACAGAGTCGACTTTCCAGCCCCATTGTGTCCCAAGATGGCCGTGATTTGATTCTGATAAATGTCCAACGAGAAGTTCTTGAGTGCCCAATGGTCTCGACCGTCTCCAGCATCGAACCGCTTGGACAAGTTTTCAATTCGAACAGCGACCCGTTCTTCTTGAGTCGCGGGTTCGACGACGTCTGGGTCCAGAAAGCGACGATGAGACGAGGAATGCAATTCCGAATCATCATCAGCAGGGTCGTAGCGGTGAATTTTCGGCTGGGTTGAATTGCAACAGTAGAGCCAGTGCTCTCTTTTCCCTACTGCTTTCGGCAAGACTTTGTCAAGGTACAGTGCCAGCAGGAAGTAGATGATGGCGTCCACCATGATGATGAAAACTGCCGCCAGAAGCGGCCAAGTGTAGCTGGAATGCGGGGTTGCGAACGACCAAAATCTTTCTGCAGAAACATGAGCGAAGTATTTATTTATGAAAGTAAATCGCTCAAAACTGCTTGAGAGAATCTAATCAATAAATCAGCTAGCGTTGCCATTTGCCCCGGATTCATCCTGATAGTGTGACTGGGCCACACAACTGGGCATGTCCTCTTGTATGTGTGATCTGATAGAAATTTTCAAATCTGAAATTTCCCCAATGCCCACGTGTGGCTGGGCACCCTAAGCTAGTATGGATGTAGATCAACAAGTCCCCTATGTATTCAAGTAAAAGAACAGCAAATAACCTAAATTTGAAATAAAAACTAACCCAACCCAGGAAATTAATTTGGAAAACTTCTCATAGAAAATTCAAAGTGACTTTCTATTGATTGAATAAAGGATAAATCACTTGCAATTCACCACATTTGGACCTTATGGTCTGCATTTTTGGGAGAGTAAAATGTGGAAATAAATTTGACTGGAAACGAGCCGGATATAAATTATCAAAATACAGTCCTGTACCACAGGTCTAAAAAATCTTTTCAAGAGAATTTTTCAAGACAAAAGAAATATTTTGGGCTTTCACGCTCTTAAATTCCCGGGATTTCATTATATCATCTCACCATTCTGACCTCGACCTTCCATTTGGTCTTCAATGAACAAATTCAGTATTGAAGAGCAAAAAGCTGTCGGACTCAGCAAAGACAATGCCAAAATAACCACTTGGTGCACCGGTCTTCTCACGATAATAAACAACAGGAAAGGCGCTGCCATCAAAACACACAGTGTAGCCGCAATACCTACTCCACTTTCCGGATTCGACAAGATCGTGGTTAACAGGACCATTAAAGCAGCATGGCCCACTACGTTTGACAGAAGCATGATGTAGATTGATAGCAGATTGACATTCCTAAAAACTCCCAAAACCAAAAGTCCCACTGAATAAACGGCCATGCTCGCGAGCCCTTCGGCACAATGAACGCACATCCAGGAAGAAAAGTAGACGAAGTCGCTGATGCCCATCATTTTCAACAGAGGTTTCATCATCCTGTCCTTCTCTGTCAACATCTGCAAAATAAATGAATCCCTATCCAAATTTTTGAACTTTTAAACCATGTGCATAAGCTTATTGTACGCCAAAGCAGAAACTTTGCGCTGTTGCGGTCGACGAGGGGGTCAATCCTACCAGTTTAATTGCAAAAAAAAATCGAGAGTTTGATGACGAAATTTTTTGATATAGCAAGTACCTGAATAAAATCTGCTTCTGTATACTGTTTTTTTATTTTGATCTGAAGCTTGGAAAATAAGAAAAATTTCATAAAACCTTTGTTCTATTGGGTGAGATTTCCAGTCAGTTAGTGGGGGATCTCGCTATATACAGTTGAACCTCTCTAAGTTCTATTCTAAGAGACCAGCTAAAAATTCCACTTGAGAAGGTTGTGACTTAGGGACGTTTCAAGTTAGAGTGGTTTTGAGTTAGGGAAGCAATCAGCTTTCTTGTGGGAAACAAATAAGAATCGCAGGAAATTGTAAATGATAATATTTCAGGCCTTCAATTGCTTCTTAAATGAGTTGGCAGGATGATGAACTTGGAGACTGGGGTTCATTTGCCCAACAAGTCTTTCACTTCCATTTAAAACACTTCAACTTACTTTTATTGCTTTTCTCTTTCCTGTACCAAGAAAATAATAGCCAAAAGGCCTCAGAAAATTCGAGTTGCTGAGGTTTGAAAGGAAAAAGCCTTTCAATATAGTGATTTTTGCTGTCTACAAATTTCTGTAAAATGCCAAAGAAAGGTAGTATCTTTAATTTTAGAAACATGACCTACTCTTTGCTCGATTCAAAAGAGGCTTCTCACCTGGGATAGTAAAGTTATGGAATAAATGACGATCGAAATGTTCATGGTGTAAATCGCCGGAATGAATAGCCAGTAAACTGCACTGGCAGCCAGTGGCAAATGTGTGAGATTCAAGTCCCGCAGAAGTCCTCCAGCAGCTGCAAGGGCACCAGGAACCCGATGCGAAATCAGCACCTGAACTTCACCAGAATCAATTCAGATGACTCAGGGAAAAAAATATACAGTAGTCTAAAAAACAAAATAAAATTATTGAAGCTGTTCTATATGATGGGATCATTGCTGTGATGGAATAAGCAAGATACTGCATCACGAACCAAACATGCAGAAATTCAGAAAACAAAACAAGTACGGTACCATAAAATGCAGTGCTTTTAAACCAAATGATCTTTGCTGCTCCTTACGCTTAATTAGCCAAGCAAATGTTCCAAAACAAAAACGTGTTGCTAAAAAATCACAGGACAAAAAAATATCCCCAAGATGCTCTAAAATCATCAATGGTCTGATTATTATTCATATCAGGCATTTTAGGTTACATTTTTTTTATTTACACGGGAATTGACGCAAGCACGGAAGAAAATTGGCACATTTTTAGATATTGCCACGGATTGAAGACTACCTAAATGAATAGCCAGTAAACTGCACTGGCAGCCAGTGGCAAATGTGTGAGATTCAAGTCCCGCAGAAGTCCTCCAGCAGCTGCAAGGGCACCAGGAACCCGATGCGAAATCAGCACCTGAACTTCACCAAAATCAATTCAGATGACTCAGGGAAAAAAATATACAGTAGTCTAAAAAACAAAATAAAATTATTGAAGCTGTTCTATATGATGGGATCATTGCTGTGATGGAATAAGCAAGATACTGTATCACGAAACAAACATGCTGAAATTCAGAAAACAAAACAAGTACGGTACCATAAAATGCAGCGCTTTTAAACCAAATGATCTTTGCTGCTCCTTACGCTTAATTAGCCAGCAAGCAAATGTTCCAAAACAAAAACGTGTTGCTAAAAAATCACAGGACAAAACAATATCACCAGGATGCCCCAAAATCTAGTTACCAGACTAATAATAAGTATAGTCCGTAAAATCCAATGTAAAAAAAATAAATGTGCCCTTAACTGCGTTCGTGCCTTCTTTTAACCGTGTAAAAATCTATAACGGTGCCTAACTTCTGATGGAGCTCCTGGGTCTAATGGGTTCTCAAAGCAGAGTAAAAATCTAGAATTCTAGGAACAAAGAAATCGAACCTCGTCAGTGACGATTTGTAAAGCCACGAAACCCGTTTTGATGTAATCATCAGGTGGACATCGAACGGTGTTGTCGTATCCTGCAGATAGTCTCAAAAAATTTGGCCTTGGAATCCGTAGCCACATAATCTTCACGACATTGTCGTCAGCAGTAGCTTTTGCCACTTTTGTCTGCTTCCGGCAAAATTCGCCCAACGGGGTTTTTAACAAAGGATGAAGTCCGTATAGCTGTTCCAGAAGTAACTGAGCTTAGCTTATGCTGTCACCCCTAACCTAGTGCTATCGCCGTCTTTGCAAAGCTGCTAAAGCAAGCATTAATGACAAAAAGTCTCTTTCATTCGTGAAAATTTCGTCGCAAAGTTTAGGTTTTGAAACGACTGCAACAAGTCCTGAATGCGAGTTCCACGTAGCAATAAAGTCCGACCTGAAACGAGCTGAATTGCTTGCCACGATTGCAATGCAGGTTCCTTCTCCACCTGATCCGTTAAGAGAATGTTCAAATATTTCAATTTATATAAATAACTGCAAAGGTATTTTACCCTAAGTTCCCCGCAAAAACGTTAATATTCCTGAGGCGGTTTGGTAAAAATTATCAGTTTTCAAACTTTTGTTGAGAAAATCGGGACATTTTTATACTGTATGCAAATTCGGTAGAAGGGAAAAGGACAGTATTTTAGGATGTTTAATTTGTCGTATTCACAATTTGTAGCTGTACCTATTCTTTTAATTGAAAGAGATAGGAAGGCTTCTATAAACTTAAGCTTTAAAACGCTTACCATAGGGACATAATACCGTAGCAATAAGCTTTAGAGAGAAAGATACAGTATAAATATGGAGCAAACATGCTAATTTCATGAAAAATTATCTAGAGACCAGTAGGAAAAACGGCAAGAAATGTTGGAAAAACTATCGGCGTGGAGAATCGGCAGTCGAATGATCTTCAGTCTAAATAAATAGTCAAAAATCAAAGTTCAACCCCTTATTTTTCCAATTTCCAAACTCTTTTGCTTTCGGGATGCCATCGAGATTTTTTCATCGCTTTTATTTACGCATTTCAATCCTCTTCTGATGGTGAAAAATTCGGAATTAAACGTTCATGCCATTTCGAAATGTACTCGAATTTGTTGGGAGTTGATGCAGGAAAGATTAATTCCTGTAGGTGTTCACATTCACTTACTCCAGATGTCCCCAGTGGTAGAAAACCAAGCTGTTTGTGTGGTTTTCGTCTCAATGCTGTCGTGAATCGCAATAGGCATCAACCGAGTGAAAATCAGCAGGTCAAAGCAAAACCACATCGGCATGATGAGCACGTTGAAAATAATTTGCGCTGGATTTCCCGTCTTGATCAAAATCGCTCTGCGAACCATAGCCGAAAATCGCCCCATTTTCCAAGTTCTTCCTAATTTGGCTCCTGCTTAAAAATGTACCTTCGAGATAAATCTAGACCCAGCTTATCATCTCCACTCCCTAACTTTACAACCGCAACTTCACTTAATTGCGGACATAATAATTTTATGGAAATACAGTATAGAACTATATTAGATAGAACTAAATGTTGACGAAATGCCAACGAAAGCTTCAACCTTTCTAAACCTCCTGCGACAATAAGTCGCATGGCGCCTGTAATAAACATTTTCAGTTTCTTCTCTCTGAATTTAAAAAAGGTGCTTCACTGAATTTCTTCTTCTCTTGATTACTCACCGTCGTGATACCATCATGAATCTAGAATTCGCTGAAGGGCTCTTAGGTCTTCGTCACTACAGGCACATCATCGAAGTTGTTTCAGAAAGTGACAATGTCATTTCTCACAAGTTCGATGTTATGAAAAGATCACCACTGAGGAAACTAATTCGCGATAACGCAACTCTGGATGAGTTCCTTACTTCTGCGGAATGTAGTCAGAAAAGGAAAGTTGCAGAAAACCTCGCATGTTTTTGGGGGAAGATTTCACGGGAAGAAAATCAATTGAGACCTCAGAAATTCTGTGCAACCAACTTAGTCCGCTGCTTTTTCAGCATGAACCGAGGAAGACCAAACTACATGCTAAATTTGGGACAACTTTTCCGGTCATCGGGAAAGCACTGAGGATGTTGACCGACGACCTTCAAAGTTCGATTCATGTTTTCAAAAAAATTGAGCAGGCAAAAAAAGTAAAACATAAAACGAATCCCGTCTTCCGCGTCGAAATAAGCTACAAAACCGCCCAAAAATTTTTGAAGCATATTCCTGGATTATAATTGAGACAACATAAAAATATTGTTTGCGCTCTTGACATGCTATTGACCCTCCACGAAAACATTTTCTATTTATTCCAAATGACTGTTCAAAATCGGATTAACTGACCATCGATGATTTCATTTGAAACGAATATGCAATGGAATAAAAAAGATTTGAAGATAAAATTACAGACCTATATTATGAAATAATTAATTCAACTCGCTGGATTACAACATACCAAACCCAACTCAACGCATAATTTAACCATTTTCAGCATTCTCTGCTAATCAGGACTTAAGAACGGAAATTTGAGCTTAATCGAGCATCTAATCAGAGTAACCGAAACATACAAACTAACCTGCTGTAATTCTACAAATAACTTTTACTGCAGTGCAAAATTTACAACGAAGAAACATGAAAGAGAGGGATCTAAACCTCTTCATTTAATTATCATGACTTCAGTGATATTTTAATATTCTCGTACTGCGCATTATGTAGATATAATTCACATGAAATCATGAATATTCAAAATAAAGTTATCCCTTTCCCATTCGATTCATTTCTTGGTTGTTCGGCTTGATGAACTACATCGAAGCTGCGATTCATGTCTGAAATTCATGCTATAAATGAAGATTTTTTGCCCCTGAATTTGGTTAAATTCGTGGTTGTTTTCCTATAGGTGTACAACATCGAAGCTGCAATCCATGTCTCCGGCAATCCGTGAAATCAATTTTGGCGACGATTCTCGAGTCCGTTCTCAGCAGTCATCATCCTCGTCTGAAGACGAGGGGTTTGAGAATGCATCGAAATCGGATTCCATGATCAGCGGGGTCTCTGATTTCTACGTGGACATTTTCGCTGAATTGGCGTATCCTTCTTTGAGCTCGGAATCGTTGCTGCAAGACCTGGGCCCGGCTGCTGAAAAGTCCCTGCTGTTTGAACAAGCCATGCTTCCCCATGGACAGCACTCTGCTTTCAGATACCCGCTGCCGGTTTTCAGAGCTTTCTTGATCCTCGGAAAAGATCGCGTGGAAAAGTCATCGTCAGTGCTACAACTTGAATGATCGATAATTACCCGTATTTTCCAGATCAGTGTTCCCCAATTCGTGGTCCGTAGACCGGCGCCGGTCCGCGGGAAAATTTCTTCAACATGCAAATTTATTATAGGTATAGAAATGAAGTTTGTTACTGTATTTCAATCCAAAAATTTTGAGACAATGGCAGATGAAATGATCTGATGAAAAACAATAAAAACCAAAAAAGAGGACATTATCGTTAGTAAATCTGTATTAAAATGGAGGAATTTATACAATGTCATGAAGACCAAAAGTTGGACTCTTAGGAAAGAAGTTCGGGTCGTAGTATAAAAAACGTCTCATTTCCACTTTATAGTTCTTCACAGCTGGTTCACAACTTACTTTTTGCAATTAAAGTATTGTTCTGAGGACTGCTTCCATCCATAAAATTTTACAGTACGACGTGTAATCTTTAGAATGCCTTGCAACGTCTTTTAAATTACTTTTAAACGGCCAGGTGCTTCCTAAAGTAATTTTAAACGGCCAGCTAGGCGCTTGGGTTCAAGGTTGGGGAACACTGTTCTAGACTATCACGCGCCCTCGGGTAAGACGATTCAAGTGGGTTTTTCATGCAATTTAACATCTGGATAGAATTCTATCCCCGAGTATTAAGCCGCGCACCCCATATTCAGTGAATCTAAAACCACAATATTCCAAGAATAAGAACACCCAAATTCGAACCTGAATTGAACATGAATTCGATCGATTTTAATGCACAGTATTTTCATTAAAGTAAGTTCTTCGGTTTAAAGTGGTCCGAAATTTCCGATTAAAATCAATGATAATGTAAACCTAAATTTTGAAAATTTATTTATAAATTTATCCCCTTTTACGACGCTCAACTTTTTTTTTTATTCCTCTCAAGTTTGCGCGTGGTACTCGAGTGGATACGTACTCCATTCATTCATTGGGGTTTTACACGACGAATGGCCTTATTTCAGAAAAGTGGGCGAAGAAGTAGTCGAACTCTGCAGGGAAGCATTGAGGGTGTTTCTGGGACCAAAAGGGATTTTTCAAGTACAGCTGGCATCAAATCTCAACAATACTTTATTTGGACTTATGCACGCAGATTTTGCTGTGCCGCTGGAAAACGGTTTCAGGCAAGATATATATGCTTCAAATGTTGATGTGATGTTCTATTTCAAATTTTTCCTATTAATTAAATACTGTATTTATTAACTTAAATGTTGAAACATGCTGCATCCGAGAACATTTGGAATTTTTAACCCAAAATACTAAATTTTTTCGGTCTCTACCTCCAGATAAGAATTCATAATTTTTAATTTTAGAAATTCTTCATATTGATGCGATGATTTTGCCTGTTTAATTATTTGAGTTCACTACAGTAGTGTTCCCTAACACGTGGTCCGCGGACTGGCGCAGGTCCGCAGAAATTTTTTTTCCAGTCCGCGGGACTTTTTTTTCAGCATTATAAATTTATCAAAATTAGCAAGGAAATGTGTCTCTTTACCTTAAATTTCGGAAAGACTATGACGGTGGAAATTATAACTTGTCTTTTCTCCTAATGAAGCTTCGGAAAAAGTTTTACTAGCTGAAATAAATTATATCAATTTCTAATTCAGAAAAACCTCTCTTCAAGCCCATCTTTTTTAATTTTTTGAAGTTATTCCACTATATAGCTGCTTCTTTGCTTCGTAACTTAATTTTTTTCAAAAAAAGCAGAAATTTGTTTTCCTTTCTTTCGAGCAAAACTTTTATGAGTCTCCATTTCTGCAATAATTAAAATTTGATTTATAGTCGTTCTGCAGAATTTTGTTTTTGAAATTTGATGGTCCGCAAAAATGCTATGCAAATGTACCGGGCTGGAGACTGAAAAAGTTGGTCAACACTGCACTAGAATATTTATTCGATTAAATTATTTTTGATCAGGTTTCAAGCATATCCAGCAGCAGTTCTGATTTTGAGTGACGATGCCGTAAACCTGTTGCCGAGATTCTATCACTCATCAGCCCTCTTGACTCACCTAGCTTTGATATTGAAGACTGAATTCGACAATTTAGCAGTAATGCAGGAGGCATCAACTCTGATGTCATCTGGCTTTTCCAAACTGGATTTGGATTCCCTGGCCTCACAACATCGGAATAGTGGAAGGAATCAGAAATAGATTCCCCATCTTCTGGGGAAAAGTGCTCTTCTTCGTGAAAAAGCGGGCTTACATGTTGAACATACTGGTGTAATTTGATTGGCCGATGTGAAAAGGCTCTGGCCTTATCACATTTGTCAGCCCAGAATTGCCAATTTATGGCTATTATATGCATCATCGCCCTCCTGTTGTTGCTCACTATTCATGGCTCATCTGTGGGATGCCCACACCGTAAAACGCATGCCGATGTCGTGATATATGCTTCTCTCATGATTCCTCTTGATCCATTAAATATTCGACATGTGAAAACTGAGCCATCGCTTTTTCTGAGTGAAAACGTTTGTGAAAACTCGGCAAGATTTCAGTTGCATCCATTTTTTTACGGGAATGATGCGAGGAATGCCGGGGAAGGTTTTGGCATCACTGGTGATGAGATTTATGACATTGGGGAGCTTTCACCAGATCGCTTTCTTTGGATCTGATTCGATCAGTGTTCCGGCTAAATGTTGTGATTATTGGGGAGAGGCGCTGCTTTTGGATCTTGCTTTCGTTCCACTTTGTTGTGAGGACGCTTTTGTTCTCGGAAACTGCCAGGGAATATGAACTGGGTGGATATCTAGGATGATTTTCTGCACAAGAAGTGCTGCTGAAACGAATGAAAAAAGGTTGACTTTTTTTTGGGAAGCGCATAAAATAGGAAATTAGGTTCACATTTTGTAATCCCGGAGGTATCCGAGAAAATCGAATATTTTGAGTTTCTTGGCACGAAAAAGAGCTCCTTAATTTTGCAGCGGGAATTTTTCGTATGAATGATCCCTTATTGATCCATCTCATTCAGAAGAAAATCGTTTCGTGCTAAATTTTGTGATAATCCTTGAGTAATGTTTCATGGGGAAGCTTTCATGAATATCCTCAAAAATGCAAGAAGCATCTAAATTCATCCGTTTCCTAAAATATGTTCACTAATAATAAAGTTGATCAAATAATTTTCCAGAATCAAAAATCGTTTCAGATTTTAGTCCAGGTGTATTTTAGTCCTGGTTAAGGAGCGCAACCCATTTTTTCAAGATCATTAAATTTGAACTAAAAATCCACAATGTTCACGAATCTTAATTTTAGATTGAATGAAAGTTCAATTCCTTTGCTTGTAATGAAGTTTATTGATGCT